TATTTTTTAAATTAAAAATTTAAAGTGCTTGATGCAATATTTTTCAATAAAAAATATTTGTCACTATAAATAAATGCACTGGACTACAAGTAACTTTCACCAGAAGCAAAAATATAATTTTCTAAATCAATTTTTCGAGTTGTTTTCAAATCTGCAATTATACTTTTTCTATCACTTTTAATTTTTTATATTATTACTAATAACTTATAAAAGAATAAATAAATGATAAAAAATTTGTTTTCAAATTAGTATTGATTTTGATTTTTGATATGTTAAAAATGATGAATCTAAATTTTCATTTTTAACCTATTTTTTTGGTTTTTTAAAGTTGATGAAAAATGTTTGATAAAGTCTTGTGAAAGTTTATACTAAAAAAATTGAATATTTAACCATAACTTTTAGCTCAATTACAAGTTTGAAATTGACATCATTAAATAGAAAATTTTATTAGAATTAAAACAATGCTATTTTTAAGATTAATATTCAGTCAGGAAATTTTATGATTACTATTGATAGTATATTTATCAGAAAAACTCATTATTTTTTTGCATTTTTATCGTAATAGAACACTTAAATAGAAATCATAATAATCATTTCTAAGTAACTTTTGGTACTTAAAAAGATTCTACAATTGAAATATCCAGAACTGAGTTAATGATAGGTAAAGATATGCATCGATATAAAAAAGAATTATACTGATTTGGTCATTTTTTTATAAAGTTATAACAGTTAACAAAGTTATACGTTTTTTACACTGGACTACAAGGAACTTTCTTCAGATATAAAAATATACTTTTCTAAATCATCTTTTCGCAATGTTTTCAAATGTGCCATTAGACTTTTTCTATCACTTCTAAGATTGAATATTTTTACTCATTATTAAAAATTAAGTATTTACATATAAAAAAAAAATAATTAACCCTTTAGCAGGCGCGAACCTATTTTTAACGTTCATAGTCACGTGGGGGTCTATCAGACCCATTTCTAAAAAAGTATAAAAAAAGTATAATAAATGTAGTTTAAAAAAACTAAAAAAACACGCTTTTAAAGCACATCGAATTAAAAAGTTAAAAATAATTTTTAAAATAAGTTTAAAAATTATTTTTAACTTTTTAGTTCGATGTGCTTTAAAAGCTTGTTTTTTTTAGTTTTTTTAAATTATATTTATTTTTCACTTTTTAGTTTCATGTTATGATAGTAGTTACTATCAATATCATGGTTGTAATGGGTAACGGGAAATCAGGGTTCGATTCCGGGGAGGGTATCTGAGAAACGGCTACCACATCCAAGGAAAGCAGCAGGCGCGTAACGTGGAGGTAGTGACGAAAAATGACGATACTGGTTTCATCCTTTGTAATCGGAATGAATGAGTTCTACAGGGTGTTCAGTAAGTCAGGAAACGGGTTTCTATTGTTCTAATTGTTTGTAACAATGAGAACAATAGAAACCCGTTTCTTGACTTACTGAACACCCTGTATATCTCTAAATAAGAATAAAGTGTGTAAATATACAGAGTGTTCAGTAAGTCAAGAAACGGGTTTCTATTGTTCTAATTGTTTGTAACAATGAGAACAATAGATACCCGTTTCCTGACTTACTGAACACCCTGTATACGTAAGCCGTAGACACGCGGATGATAATGGTCAGTCAAAATAAAAATATGTTTATACATATAAATAATATTGATGACACGCACGCGAGTACGGGTACGATAACTAAAAATAAATTTATACAGTTCAAACACGACTTATATTTATTAGTTTTATGTGTATTAATATTTATATAATCATTTTTCTGAATTGAATGTTTTTATTATTAATATTACAATACATTTAATTATTATGATACGAATATATACAATTATTCTAAATCTGTTGAACATTGATTTTTCTCCCAACAATCTTTGCATACTGTTTAATATACGCGATGTATTTATTACATGTTTTGTTCTTATTGTTCCGTATAATCGAGTGGTGGAAATTCTCAATAGATTANGTTCCGTATAATCGATTGGTGGAAATTCTCAATAGATTATTTATTTTTAAAACTTAATTGCGCAGTCGGTGGTAGATCCACATAATTCCAATTCCACAATATTATATCGATTATAACATTACATTTGCGATAAAACGATATTTTGAAAAAAATTCAAGTACAAAAAAAAATTATATATTATAAGTTGCGTGGGGGTAAATATTACCCATTTTAATTTTGATAAATATTTTAAGTCATATATTTTTATTTCGAAGGTATTTATTTATGAAAATCGATTCAATATTACTATAAAAACCATCTTCTAAATTTATATCTATGTACACCTTTTATACAATATAATACATCCGTTTTTATTTATGTGAGGGTATGCTAGAACCTCCCCCCCACGCACTGTTTAAGGGTTCAGAACAAAAAAAAATTGTTTTAAATTAATACTGATTTTGATTATTAATATGTTAAAAATAAGGAAAATAACATATTTAACCTATTTTTTTAATCAATTAAAGTTGATTTTTGTGAATGTTTATAACAAAAAAAAATTAATGTATTTTACCATAACTTTTAACTCAATTGGCAAGTTTGAAATAAACATCATTAATTAGAAAATTTTATGAGATTTAAAAAAATTGTATCGTTAAGATTAGTATGCGGTTAGGAAGTTTTAAAAATACTATTTATAGTAAATTTATCAGAGTAGCTCAATATTTTTTTACATTTTTATCATAATAGATAACTTAAATAGAAGTAATAGTAATTTTTGGTGTTTAAAAAGATTCTGCAATTGAAATAATCATTAATATTAATGATTTACTTTAACTAAATGAACCAAACAAAACAAAGTTGTTAAAAAGATTTACTCAATTGAGCGTATTATAAAATTTGTTTATAATTGTAAAAATCCATTGTTAATTCAGGAGAAAATAATCATTTTTTTTTTTTAAATGATTTATATAGCAACATGTTACAAAAAAATTTGTAATATTATAGTCTAGTAGTAGCACACACAAATAGAGTTAAAAAAATTATTAAATTACAAAGTAAAATGATTTAATTTTGTATTTGAAACCTATCATATCAAATTATCATATCGAACTTGATTCGTCAATAAATATTTTGAAAACATTAGAAATGAATGATTTTAATTGTCTGTATGGAGAACATGGGATAAGTAGCTCTTTAGTTGATAAATTAGAATTTTTTTTCAATGTTTGAGGGTAATCTCTTCAACTAGATACCAATTTTATACATTTGATGTATCGTTGGAAAAAGTAGGTCAAGTTAGAGCAGAGAAAATAAATGATAGTCACAAAAAAATGTCTTCTCAGCTTTGCATCGAAGCTAAAACTTAAAATATAGTAAAATAATTTTAATATTAATAAGAAATTTCTTCTCGCAAGTGGCAGATACAGTGATAGCATCCTTGAAATTTATTGAAGTTTTTGAATCAAAATGAGATAAAAATCAAAGGAGTTTAAAATTCATTCTAACTCAAAAAGAATTAAGAAAAAATTCAAAAAATTCATTGCAAACGCGGGTTGGAACCTTGTACTCCAAGCGCGTAAAACATAAGATTTACAACTCGGCAAGTGTACGTCGCTAACTTCGACTGAAAAATATTGCTATTTAAGCTAATTCAAATTTCAAAGTTATTTTTCTCGACTTCAAAAAAGCAAATAATTTAAATAAGTTTATCTTTCTATGCTATATCAATTTTATTTATATAATATTTATGAGAATCTTTGTACTCCCCTTGTCAGGTATTTTAAAATAAAATCAAATATAAAACCCAGAATTTTAACAAAAAAATAGCATATTTTTGAATACGGTAGTCATTTTTACCATGAAGACAAATCCAAAGGTTACATTTTTTTTGTTCAAATTAAAGTATATTACATAAGCGTTAATTTAAGATATATATAAAAGTGTTAGTACTTCTGGAACACTTTCAAAAATTCAATTGAAAATGTCCTAGTTTCAATACGCATGTTTAAAGTTTTGACCTCCCTTGTATAAACGAGTAGATCCGATTTACAAAAAAAGTGTATCAAATGAAAAGGGTATATAAAAATTTGTTATAAAAAATGATTATATTGATTTATACATTTATCCATAAGTTATAGCCTTATAAATTTATTAATATAAAATATAAAATCGAGAATTTTTTCACAAAAATTGTACGTTTTTCTTTAACTTTGATGTCCGTTTTTACCATGAAGACAAGTTCAGAGGTCAATTTTTTTTTTTTTCATAATAAAGTATATTACATAAGTTTTAATTTAAGATATATATTTAAGTGTCGGTATTTCCGGAAAAATTTCTAAAGTGAAGTTAAAAAAAACCCAGCACAGTGGAGTCGCGGCATAGTGGGGACGTTGCATAGTTGGGTCCAGTATAGATTTAATCTGACAGTGATTAAAATCACTATCATAAGAAACGCTTCGATGCAAATCAGTAGATAGTGTTTAATTCTAAGAAATTGGTGGATAATTACAAAAGCT